TGACAAAGTACACTGTGAGGGGAGCAGCGGGCGGGTCAGGAGAGGTCTGCCAGGCCATGTGGTCACCTCCGGGGCAGGTGGGGATTGAACTCATGCAGTAGTGGCTTTTGCTTCTTAGTGCTGTGCTTTAACCTGCTGCGCCACCAGGGAGGGCCAGAATTGTTTAATTTTTAAGAGAATGAACAATGTGGCTAAATAGATTGTAAATGCTTTATATACTAAGATGTTTGGGTTACAGTGACATCCTAATTCAGGTATTGTCACTGAATTTAACAGTAAACCCAAATGAGTTAGTTTAGTTGTTATTTGAATGATATTACATTCTAGAAAATATTAAACTCCCTTAGATTCATCAAGTAGATGTAACATGCTTAAAGTTTTGCAGTTTAATTGCCACTATTAACTTCCAAGTTTTTAGGCTCTAATGACAAACAGAATGGAATCAAATTCTGATGTCACTAGATAGCTGTGAGTACATTTACCTTGAAAGTATTGTTTCTCAGCCAAGTATCTTTTTTTCTTATGATACCTAGTGCTTTGGGTAATTTGTTCTTTGGGGGTGGGAGAAATTGTTTCTTGAACTAGAAAATCTTAGTGGTAGTGATTGGTCTTAGGCTATAGGATATTCGTAGGTTATTTTGTTGTGCAGTATTCTTGTGGAATGTCACTTGAAATGAGTGGCTGGTATTTATAATCCAAACGAACCAATTTTACAAATTCTCTGAATCATAGAGTTTGGGAGAGTTACTAAAAGTCACTTAGCTACAAAAAGGCAGCGAGTACGTACTACAGTATAGATCTATTTCATTATAAAACCCCTTACTTGTATATCTTGTGGAAAAAAATGAGCCTATTTTACGTTGAAGTTGTCCTGTACTTCTTAGGAATAAAGACAGTAGACAGCACATACACACTGTCCCAGGTACATGAAAATTCTTGAAACCACTATGATTTTGGAAGACAGTTGCTGTTGCCCCTACATTTTCTGAGTTACACTTAGGGTTTATAGGAAATGTTATCTTGTCATATTAATAAGCGTAAGTGTAGTTAGGAATCATTAAGCTCTGTAATCCGTCTGTATATGACAAATATTAAAATTGTTTTCCCTAAGTATTTATAGTGATCGTCAGACTCATGTGTTCCATCTTTTGTGGTTCTTCACCTACTCACTTTTTCTCTTTTTGCAAAAGACCACTGTTTTTGTAAATTCCAGTTAACATTATTTTAAGTGTTAAAGTAACTTCATCATTGCTTTCAATTTTATTCCAGTCTTGCTAGTATGGTACTAACACTTGCCACTTTTTTGTTTGTTTGTTTTAGACCTTCCACATTTGCTTTTAATAAACTATCACTTTCAGGACATGAGCAGAGTCAGGCTACAAAGTGAATTTTCTCTTTACTAATTTTGGGATTTTGTTCTTAAATACAGGTATTTTAGCCTCTCCACAGTCAGCACCTGGAAACTTGGATAACAGTAAAGGTGGAGAAGTTAAAGGTAATGGAAGTGGAGGAAGCAGAGAAAACAGTACTGTTGACTTCAGCAAGGTAATTCTGTCATTAACTGTGAATTTTCATTATCTTATTGCTAGTGGTGTGGCTTTAGTAACTTTGATAGTAACAAGTTTTTACTAGATTTGGGCTTATAAACTTGCATGTGATGCTTACATGTTAATCGCAGGTCAGAAGTTGTAAGACAGGTGACAGTTCACCTCAGATGGCTTGAATAAATTTATATCTTGCTGTTTTTAGAAATTCTGATAAGAGTATGTGAGTAATAGTAGTCTTTCCATTTATAACTGCCCATAGATAATCATGAAAATTTCAGTATCTTTTACAGTCACTTGTTCTGGAGCTGCTACCAGTAGAAAGATCAATCTGGGCATGATGTTACAACATTAGTAATTCAGCCTTTTTTCAGCTGTAATGCGATTCCAGAATTATTTTCTTATGGTTTCAGTGCTTTCTGGAATGTTTCTGGGAAACATACCTGTGCTCCCCATGGGTGGGTTTGAAAACAACTCTCCCATCTTAATTATGATTTTTTTCAGTAGATGAGTAAATGCAACAGAAAAAACATTTCTAAAGAACAGGGCAGAAGTTACAAATTCAAATTAATTTTAAACGTTCTTTATGAATACTACTTCTGAATAATTATTCTGTCTCCACTGTAATTTCTTTATGGTATTTGCTTATAGGGTACCCACTATAATATTTTTTACACCCAATGTAAGGTATTTTTTTTTAATCAAATGTGATTATTTCAAGTAAGATTCGTTTTTCTTAAGTCTTTCATTTTATGATTCAAAGTGTGTAAGTCATATTTTGCAGAAAAGGAGTGTAAATGATGATTTACATTTGTAGCCTTGCTGAGCTTCATACCACGCAGAACCTTACATTAAGTTGCACCGACTGTTCAGAAAACCTGTTATATTTTTTACTTCTATGAAATTCTTAATTATATTTTTACTGATGATCCTATTGAAGGTAGTAAAAAGCATTCATAAGTAAGTCACAATTTATTTTTGTTAACGATAACTTACACGATAGATTTCCTCTAGACATGGCAGATGCCGTTTATTTTTGTTCCTCTGTCATAGTTTTACTTTTTTTACTTGGCCTATCCTTGTGTCCCCTCCTTGTCTCCTGTCGGGCAGGAGTCTGCCTCCTGGCACTGTAGTTGTGGCACACTGGGTGTGGGACTCAAGAGGCCCGCTGTAAGTGCTGGTTTTGTTTTTAATAGCTAGCCCTGTAAGTGGTTGTTTAGTGACTTGTGTGATACTGCATATAAATGAAAAAGTTCTCATACTTTGATATTATGTTTGTAATCTTTTCTTTGTAATTATACACAGACAACTAAATTTGATTACATAGCATTACCCTATATTTATACTGATATATGGCTATTGTAGTTTTAAATGAAAATGAATGTTTTTTCCACTTAACGAATATACCGGGGAAGTTCCATAGTTCTTATAAAAATATATAAAATGTAAAGGGATTAATTATTTTCCAAGATTGAATAATCATGAAATGAATGTTTTCTAGCACTGTGTATAATTTCATAAACCATTGTTTGTGAACTATATTTTTGTCCTTGATAATTTTTTAATGAATAGTGCTTATATTCATTGAAAAAAATTTCTCTAGTTTATATGTCTGATAACTTAGATCTCTGAAGTAGTTAAGATTCTGACAGTTATAGTTAGGACTTTAATGGCTGTGTTTTGCTTGCCCTTTTGTATCTGTCTACTCCATTCTTTATATTTGTGAGAATTTTGGCATTTATACATCCATTAGATCATAAGTTTTGATTGATAAATAGTGGTCTTAAAACCTTCTTTTCTTTCCTATTTCTCTCAAGTATTCTTAAAAAACAACTGCAAATTAAAGAACTTCAAACTATTTCTAAGTGTTTATTTACTCAACAGGTTGACATGAATTTCATGAGAAAAATTCCTTCGGGAGCTGAGGCCTCCAATGTTCTGGTGGGAGAAGTAGACTTCTTGGAAAGACCTATCATTGCGTTTGTGAGGCTGGCCCCTGCTGTGCTGCTCTCAGGGCTGACTGAGGTCCCTGTCCCGACAAGGTGGGGTTACTTCCAGTGGACTCATGTCCAGAGCCTGAATCTTTTTATCAGTTTAAAGAGTATATTGTCTTAAGTAATAAAAGTACATTTTGATTGTTAATATTTCCATTACATCAAGTGTTTGGGTATTAGTGCATCATATCCTTTGGCCTTAAAAAAAAAAAGAAAATAATCCTTCTGAAAAATAAATTTTACTTATACCTTTATAAGACGTTTGTATCCTAAGAACTTTGGTTTCAAATACAGCTCATGGTTTTAGACACATTAACATTCTGTATAGAAATTGAAATCTCCCTCTGCCGCTTTTTGTACATGTTCTTAAGTAAACCTTTTAGGTGCTTAATAAGACTGGGATATACTTTATTTACTTTTTTTTTTTTTTTTGGCTTTTTTGGCCTAAATAGTCTAGATGAAATAGTTTAAATTCAAAATAAGAAGATAGAAACTTTAATGTAAAACACTCAATTCTTAATTGCCTTTTTACCTTAAGGAAGCTGTGAAGTAACACTTTGTAAGAAAATTAATTCCTTATTTTATTTTTGTGATCTACTTCAGTGTCATTATAGTGGCCATTTTATTTTAGTGATTGTGGTGGTGGCATTTAAAAGATGTCTGAATGTTATTTCTGTCTTTCGAGTGATTTCTTTGTGGTTGCCTAGATTTGTGTGTATGTATTATTTATCCTTCAATTTGCATATCTTAATGTTTCCTTAGGTTTTTGTTTCTACTGTTGGGTCCAGCAGGCAAGGCACCACAGTACCATGAAATTGGAAGATCAATAGCTACTCTCATGACTGATGAGGTAATTAAAATACCCATTGAAGTAAAAGCTTATTGTGAAGCATTTAATATATACTAAATCACAGATTTCCTGTCATAGTGAAACTTAAAAATTTATCCTTGTCTATACTTTTTTTTTTATCTCATATTCAGTCTTGAATTGGTTGCCTTTGGTAAGGTCTTCAAGACTTGTCTCTCTGGATCAGTGGGTACTTTGGGGGCGCACCCTCTCCCCCTCCCATAAGCATTTGAAATTATTGACCACCTTTTTGAAATTTTCTCCATCCTGGATTTCCTTAGAATGTCATTCCTTATGATTTTCATCAGGACTTTGTCCTCTTTCTTTTATTCCTTTTTTTCCTCTGTAATTTCTCTCTTCCATTTGGAGACCTTATCTTTGACCATGGCCTGTGTTGATCAGGACCTCTGTCTCTCTTTGGGAGATAATTTTGTAGTCAGGTGCTCGCTAGACATCTCTGCCATGTGTTCCTCCTAAGGTCTCTGAAACCCTCCCGCATTGGACCTGACCTTTCTCTATCCTGTCTCAACCAGTTAGTAAACCAGATTCTGGTGAGTTAGCTATTTATTATGTCTTTAATCCTAATTATGTATTTAATTTGCCATCTGTTTTTTTTTTTATCTTTATTGCCTCTTTGCTGGCTTAAATTCTGCTACCTTCATTTCTTTGGTGACTAAATGGACTTTATGGGTTGGTATTTTAAAGTATTTTCCTCTTTACTACCCAGAACATACAGGGTTGAATATATCATTTCCTTCATTCAGATTATCAGTGACATGCTTTTATAAATTTATGTTTAAGCTTAAACTCTTCCATTGTCTTTAATAGGTGCTTCCTGATCTAACCACTATATACTTAAGTTATTCTGTCATAATACATCTCAAAGTTTTCTTTTTTTTTTGTTTCTTAGCTGTTAATTCATCAGATAATGTTAATAATGAGTTTTTTTTTTTAATAGTTTTTACTCAGGGTGGGGTGGAGACGTGCTTGGGGTAAGAGTTTAGGTAATTATCACTGATTTATTCTTGATATCTAGTTATTTACTATGTGTAGACTTTTCTTTCAACTTTAAAATCTTTTTACATAATATTTTTTTTTCTTTAGATTTTTCATGATGTAGCTTATAAAGCAAAGGACAGAAATGACCTCTTATCTGGAATTGATGAATTTTTAGATCAAGTAACTGTCCTACCTCCAGGAGAGTGGGATCCTTCTATACGTATAGAGCCACCAAAAAGTGTTCCTTCTCAGGTAAGGATTCACACAATTCTCTGAGTTTTTTTTTTTTTTTAAGATTTATTTATTTATTCATACAGAACTGGGGTACAGGCCAGAGGCTCAGGGGCGGCGAGAGGCTTCACCAGAGACAGAGTGGGGAGCAGAACAGACAGATCTACGAAGTACACTGCTGAGGGGAGCAGCGGGCGGATCAGGAGAGGTCTGCTGCGCCATGTGGTCACCTCCGGGGCAGGGATCATACTCATGCTGAAGCGGCTTCAGCCCCTCAGTGCTATGCGTTAACCCGCTGCGCCACCAGGGAGGGTCTGAGTTATTTTTTAATTAAAATTTTTGAATAGTTTACTGCCTCCTCATATCTTGGTCTTGCTTTTCTTCATATAATTATCTAGAGATTCAATCTTACAAAATAGAAATGTCCTTGTTCTTGCTCGCATAGTTTTGTTGTATTCCACTTTGGGATGGATACCATAGTTTTTCTTTCCTGGCGCTCAAGATGTTTTCAGTCTTTTGCTATAAAAAAAAACAACCCAGTATTTGTATCCCATTTTTGTAAAGATGTATCTGTAGATTAGATTCCCAGAAATAGGATTGCTGGACCACAAGGGAATTTATTTAGAATTTTAGTAGCTATTACCAGAATCCTGTCATTGTGTTGAACTGTTTTGGACTGCTGCAGCAGTGAGTTTGAACCTCACTAGTACAGTGCTGTCAAACTTTTTTGGGTAGTTGTCAGTCTGATCCGCACAGTTAATATTATTACATAAGAGATCTCACTATGGTCTTGTTTGCATTTCTGTACTTGGGAGGTTGAATATTCTTTAATGTTCTTCATTTATTGTCCTACTCTTAACCATCTTTTTAAAACATTTAAATAGCTTGTTGATCCTTAGGAGTTTATCATTAGTATGTTATACATGAGTATGTGCTGACTTTTTTTGTTTTTCCTAAATCGCTGCCTAGTTACCTCCCTTTATTGTAAAGCTAAATATTACTCCCCTCGATTGGTAATGCTGACTATATCATTTCCCAAATTTCCATGTACATACTGTTCTATTTCTGTAATTTCTCTGCCATTGGTCTGTTACAGACCAATTTTGTTCATTAATTTCTGAGGCTTTTGGGCATATTTTAATATGTGAGAAGTCTAGATTCACTCTTGTCTCTTATACTCTGGTTTTTACTGAGTCATCCTAACGACCTTTGTATATTTATTTTTCTATATAAATTTTTTAAAGTCAGATTTCTATTTCTAGAAATGAAACTTGACTTTTCAAACAAGCAAAAAAAAAAAAAAAATTGTGATGGTAGCTAAATTTTTAATGACTGGAGGAAGAATCTTTCAGTTCAGGACCTTGTGTATTTCTCCCAATTGATTTTCTATTTCAAGTTAGTTTTTGTGTCCTTAAGGAACATTATAAAATTCTTCCTATTGACACTTGGTAAGTGTGTTCAGAAATATTTTAACTTTATTGTTTCCATTGTAAATGAGGTCTTTGTTCCATTATATCATTATTTATTGTTTTTTTTACATCTATGAAGGCTATTTGTGTTTTGTATTTCTTTTTTATCCTGCTATTTTTCTTTATTTTATTGTATGTAGGAGTTTTTCAGTCACATCATGTGCAATAAGAGAATGTTATCCCCCCTCCAATTTTTTTTACCTGTAGTATGTTGTATTGATTGACATCTCTAGAAGTAAAAGTACTACTTAACTTTAGATGAGCATTTCTAAATTTGTTCCTGATAATGTCCTAGTGTATCTCTCATTAAGTTACTGACACTGGGGCCAAATACACAATTGATGGTGTTAAGAAAGTATCATAATTTCTTGTTTTATTGAAATTTTTCATTATAAATGGATGTTGAGTTTTGTCAAAGGTTTTTTTTTGGAATTTCTTTGGAGAATATGAATTTCATCAATGAATATGGTAAATCTTACAACTAGGTCTCAATATGAAAACACTCTGCATTGTTAGAAAAATCCAAGTTGGACTTTAAAGTGCTAGTAGTTTTAAGATTTTGGTTATGTTATTTGTATTATACATCATAGATTTTTGTGGAGTTTACATTTTGATAAAGTTGTCATACTTGTTTTATAAAAAATTGTAAATTTTACTGTATTCTTTTTTCTTTTTTTTGAGAGATTTATTTATTCATACAGAATTGGGGTACAAGCCAGAGGTACAGGGGCAGTGATAGTCTTCACCAGAGACAGAGTAGGGAGCAGGACAGGCAGACAGACGAAGTACACTGTTGAGAGGAGCAGCGGGCAGGTCAGGAGAGGTCTGCCACACCATGTGGGTCACCTCCGGGGCCAGGGGTCAAACTAGCACTGAAGTGGCAGCCCCTAGCTTGCAGTGCTGCATCCTAACCCATTGCGCCACCAGGGAGGGCCATTTTTCCTGTATTCTTAAATATTTTAAGTGACAGTTTGGTTTTAAGAACTTCAAGAAATTCCTTTGTAAATTTTCTTAGCTTAAATCTTTTGTGCATTTCAACAACTTGCTTAAACTGTAGAAACTGGTTTGTGTAAGTTTTTCTTTCTGGAATTAGTTTTGCTAAATTCTGTTTTCCTGTGATAACACATTTTTACCTTCCAGTGTAAGCTTTGGGAAACTGTATTTTCCCATTTCATTATAGTTTCTAATTTACTTGCATAGGGTTGGTCAGTATAGTGTCATGTAGTTTCATTTGTATGTGTGTTTTATGCATATGTATAAAATTGCCCCCAGTTTCTGAAATTTCCTTCTTCCATATCTTTTGTTGTGAATTAGCTAAGGTCTATCATATTTTTCTAATTGAATAGATTTTAAGTTTTATTTCAGTTCTCCCTTTGTAAAATTTTAGTTTTCTACTTTAATTTCTTTAAAACATTTACAGTAAGATACTTGTAATTCATTTATTTTTATTATTTAAATTTTTTAAAGGTACGTGATTAATTTTCTTGAATGATGCTTTTGCTATATCCCATAAATTGTGGTATGGTCTTACATTCCATTATTTTAGCTCTATAGGAATTCTATGATTTCTTTTCTCTTCTTCCTTTGAACAAGATGCAGTTAGTTTTAATTTCGATCTTCTCACATGGTAATCTTATGATGATAGATATGGCTGTAAATATTGAACATATAGGTAACATGTAGATCTGTACTTCTGCCAGAGGATTAGACCGACTTACTAGTCACTTCCTTCTCTCTTTTCTCCCCATTGTTTCTCTCTTTTATTCAGACATGGTGATCTCTTATTAGAGTAACAAATTAAGTTTGCTTTTTTGTTCTTCAAGGAAAAGAGAAAAGTAATATTCATAAGCATGGTGCTCTTGAATGTGTAATAAAATTTAATAAAAATTGATTTTTATGAAAATGTGTTTAACAAACAATTCCTGTATTGCTTATGTCATAAGGAAAGTATTTTAGTTAAAGAAAATGATACTTACTTTTTTTCTTAGTGTAAAGTATAATTTCCAGTAGTTCACATGAACAATATTTGATAAATAATGGAATGATATCTTATTGTATATTTATATTCTAGTTCATGAGTAAGTAATTTGAAAGGGTATATTATATGTTTCATAGTACATTTGATACTGGAATATGAAATACAGTAAGGCAATCATAAATTTAAATATCAATAGAGACAAATTTTAGATTTTATTCTAAAGTGCAGTTTATTTTAAATGGAAGTTTATTTTAGGAAGTACTTTTTATGAATGTTGGTGATAATCAGTATGAGATCCTTATGTTCCTTCTAATTGAAGATGCTATCTCAGCTTTTTATAAAACAGAATTTTGAAACTGTGTTTTTGTGAAATGCAGGAGAAGAGAAAGATTCCTGTATTTCCCAATGGATCTGCCCCCAGCTCGGGCGAGATTACTAAAGATGCTGCTCATCATGCTGGGCCTGAGTTACAAAGGACTGGACGGTGGGTACAATTACTGATACAGTGTGGGTGTCTTCTTGGGAGTAGGAACTGATTTGCTGAAAAGGGCATAAATATTCTTTGCAAGTGTTTGGAACCTTGTACAATATTTTTATATTTTAAAAGAAGTGCACTTTATGTAGGTATATAATGTTAAGGAAAATTAGTATGTATTAAAATTATACAGAAGGTTCTTGAAAAGGGTGTGGAGTCCTATTGAAATGTTTTGTATTAATTTAGAGAATTATGGGAAAGAAAGTGAATTAGAACCAATGCTTTTTATGTGTGTGCATAGATTTAAAATGCTTAATGAGCCTTAATACTATGAGATAATATAAAATTAGATGATTAAACCATTGTAATGATGGTTATCTAGTTAGAAAAATTGTTGAAGTTTATTGCTGGGTAAAAAAAAAATCAAAATATTGCCAGTTGTAAACTGTCTTAAATATATTTTAATAAAGTACAAAATGTTATAATGTTTCCATACTGTAAGTATTTAAAGAAACCAAGACACACTATTAGGGATATTGATGACATGCCTAAAGAAAAATAACAAGTGATGTACTGAATACAAACTTCAGAGAAGCTTAAACTCACAACTAATTCATTGCCTAATACATTAGTTTCAAAAAATGAAGAAAATAAGATTTTGTCCCTATGTGAAAGAGCACTTTGCTAGTATTATCTATCATTATTATTACCTTCAGTTTGAGATAGTGTTAGTCACTGAGAAATGTTAAGACAGGCCCTATTGATCTCATGGCTGCCCAGGAGTCTTGCATAACCTATCAAGTAATTAATTATTGATGTGATCATGTGGTTTCATTTTCTCTTACCAGTGGTACCTTTATTGTTATAAGTCGATATCTTTGGTTCAGGTTATTTATAGGATAATTTGTACTTGTCCATAAGTCTTTAGACTTAAACTTGAAAAATGCTAAAGTGGTAAAGTTTTAATTATCCAAAGCATTTGAAAACAAATGATTAATTTTGGGGTCTATTTTCTCCAGTAGGGGTTTAAATGACTATTTGTTCTTTGAGTCACAAACTTTCTTGAATTAATAATTTGTCACCAGAATTAATAGAGAATACCAGCTCTGTCACAGGCAGTGTCTCGACACTGGAGGTAGCAAGGAAAAGTTTCTGCCTCTCTCAGTGTTTATACTTAGAACGCTTTCAAGTTAGATGTATCCAAAAATCTGATACGCACATTAAAAAAATTAAGCCTTTCATGTGTAAATAAAGGTTTTTAATTTACTAATATAAATTTCCTCATTTTATTAACATGCACACTAATTTGAATACAGATGCAAAAATTCAAAACACTGAAGTTGTTTTTGGGCTCTTTGCCTGGACAAGTAATATTTATGTCATCGTAGTACTAATTTTAACAGTTAATCAGTTTTTTTAATTCAGTAGAGTGCACCTAAGCACAGCATACTACATTAATATGAAAGTTATTTGAGGGACTTAAGATTTCTAAATTGCCTTCTTGGTATTTCTGATATTTGCCTTTAAGATTTATAACGTGGAATAATTAGCAGAATTGTTTATCACATTTTCATTAATGGGTTGTTAAATATTACTTATTTTTACTGTACTTTTACCTTGCACTTTTGTATTCAGAATTATTTACTCATATAAAATCATTTGCCTGCAGTCTTTTTAGTATATAGTCCATAAAATACGGATGTTTGTCTTTTTAATTTAATGAGATCTGACTTTATCATCAGTGGATTAGATTAAATGAGTGTATCTTCTATAATTTAACCATGATTTAAGTAGGATATTAATTTTTGTTGACAAAAACACTACGCACCAGCCTTTTATTAGCCCATAGTTTTAGTTTGAACTAGCTAGAATCCTCTAGTGTACAGTTTGACGAGTTTCATCTCACCTATTTAGGCTTTTTGGTGGTTTGATACTTGACATCAAAAGGAAAGCACCTTTTTTCTTGAGTGACTTCAAGGATGCATTAAGTCTGCAGTGCCTGGCCTCGATTCTTTTCCTATACTGTGCCTGTATGTCTCCTGTAATCACTTTTGGAGGGCTGCTTGGAGAAGCTACAGAAGGCAGAATAGTGAGTACAAAGATTGGTAGTGGCCAGGCTCTTAGCTCTTCAGAGGCAAGTGTCTGTGTGCATTTGTCTCACTATTTATACTTTTATTTGAAGAGTCTACCCACAGCATGATTAACCTGTCCCAAAGCAGACTTCCCCCAAGGTAATTGCTATGGAAAACCTGGGGAAGCCATTTGAACAGGAGAAGATGCACAGTTGAGGTAAAATGAAAAAAAAAAGAAAAAGAAAAATTTATCCTGCCTTGCTGGATGAATGGTTTTATAAATTGAGTAAAAAAACTTGCATTGTCTCTGTGGAGGGGAGGGTTTTGGGGGTGGCGGGGGGGAAGACAAACTGTTCTGATTCTGGATGGGTTGTGGCTGTGGAATTTGTAAGTGGGGCTGCTTTATATCCTATAAGACCTCTCATAGGGTTAGTTAGAGCTGTGTAATTGATAATAACTCATCAGCTCTGTCAGGTAGGCCCAATTACACTATTTGGAACAAACTATCACCATGGGCAATTCTAGATAAATGAAATGTTTAATTTTGCTGTTAACTAAATTTGTGTGAAAGTAGCAAAAATTTTTATTTGTAACTAAAAACTGTCCATAATTTCTGATAAGACTAAAATGCAAGTAAGTTTCTTTAATTCTTGGTAATACTGTATTAGAAACCACTGGAGGAATGATAATATATTAGAAAATCTGGTGCTTTGTAAAATCTTGAAATGCTTTTTGTTTAATACATTTTAAGGCATTTAACTTAAATGGTTTATGATTCTTAAGTGTTTAATTGTGTTCAACTTTGGGAGAAAAAATAATTCACTTCTTGAGATAAAACTTTAAAAAATAGCCAAGGCTAAGTAATCATCATTATACAATAAAAAGTATTTCATGAGCTGCATACGAAATAAACCTAATTAAAATTTCTTTCAACTCAATTCATTTCTCATTCAAATTCTGTGACTTACTGTGTGATCATTGTATTGAAAGTACATGTTTCTAGGAGGTTGCTTTATGTGCTATCACAAGTTGTACATGTAACTCTTGCTGGTCCCTGTGGAAATGTGCCTCATCTATTAGCACCATGGAAATGCTGCCTCTCTGCTCTTGAGCTGTCACTTAGCCTGCTAGCCTCATCCTGCTCTTTAGTACTATGTGCTTGTGATAGCTCTGTCCATGCTGGAGGATTGTAGACATTTAGGATGAGCATGTATCGTCTGTCCTCAAGGATCCTGACTACAGTGAAAGAGATAAGATAGCTATGGCCCTAGTTACTGTGTTATGATGTGTTGTGTCACATGAGTGAGATAAAGGAAAAGCCGGGGAGGAGTTGCAGTAACAGAAACAAAAATCAGGTGTATTATGGGGCAAATGATACGAAGATGATGTGTTTGTTTTTAGGTGCTTGATTGGAACTTCAAGTAAAAATGGAGACATTAGGAGGAGGTATGTTCCAGAGTTTGTAGAGGGCTAAGGAGGAGGCAAGGGTTGAAATTGAGAATATTAACAAAGACCATAGAGGATGAGAAAGGGGAGAAATGGGAAATTACCTACATTTATGGAATGGAGAATGGGTGAGAATGAGGAGGACTCTGGCTCACCAAATTGGACACAGTACCATCAGAGTCCTAAAGAGGAATCAAAATGATGTAATTAAAAAAAAAGCGCACACACACACAAAAACACAGGTTTTAAGAAGAAAAGATTGTGTGGATTAAATGGAAGCTTACAAATGGGGAGTGGGGAATTCACAGTGTAATGGGGCTATGATTTTGTTTTGGGAATGGAACATGAAGTCTAGGGGAAGAAATTAGATTTAATGAAGGAAACTAGTAAATGTGGGTAAAATGGGGTGGTGAAAGTGAGTTCTTCTTGTGACAGTTTCTGCTTTCAGCCCAGTGTTGAGGAGGGAAACGATTGCTTTGTGCGCATATGGTCCCTGTTAGCATTTCTCTATCTGTCATCATCATCTTATGTGAAAATCGCTTTCCATCGTTAGCTCTCACTCAGACATTTTGCCCTTTGACTTGAATTCTATGAATTCTGTCTAAATTAATTTCTAAATAGGAATATCCTGATTGAACCAAGGATTTTATCAAGACTTGGCAGTATCTTCTAGGACAACCTGACTCTGTGTTTAGGCCAAAAAAGTATCTCATGCAATTAAAAAATACATTGTTAAATGGGTACTTCATTTTGCCACAAGTCAAGTTTTTATGTGCTGTAATCCTGTTTTTCTTCTCTTAGTTGAACAATACTTTCACTGCATACTATTATTTTGTGACTTTGACTTTAAAAGATGCTTTATTACTGCTGATGAGAATTGTTGCCTTTTACTGCACGCATTGTGTAGGCCAGATAATATGCCCGCTTGGTATCTTCACACGCACTGCTTCCTTTAGTTTTCCTGACTATCACCACCCTTGTTTAAAAATGAGAAAAGTCAGGCTAGAAAAGTTTGACTACCTACTAGGACCAGTCTTCTTCTTCAGCTCTCCTTTAGAAGCGCTGGTCTTTGCCTTTTGTGTCCTGCCTCCCACTTCCAAGAGGGCTGTTTTCTCACCAGCTTCCCCCCTGGCCTTTAGGAATGATGGGCTTCTCTGTCCACAGTGCATTCCAGTTGGTGATGTTTGTGAATAGAAAACTAATGGTTTCTTTTGTTCCCCTGATCCCTCTCTCCTATCTAGTGGCATACCTTAACACCCCTTAGCCTCTAACAGCCTAATAATCACTTAGAATGGAATGTTGACAGTGGTCCAAAATTGGTCTACTAACTTTGATTAAAAATCTCTCTTGGGCTTTTTTTTTTCTCTTTTTTTTCAATGAAACTTTATTAATAATTTAGTTCCTTGTCTATGGTTACTAAGTTTTTTAAAAAGATTTTCCATCTATTTTACTAATGTTAAGTATTTCAGTTTTTATATTTAATGGCTAAGCTTTCTTTTTATTTAATGGTTAAGTTACTTTTTTTTTAAATGTGTGGAAATTGCTCTTTAGAAATTAATTTGACAGTAGGATCACATGTTAATTTCTCATTGTCTATTTGAAAGAGTCTTATGTAGCATACCATATCAGTTATTTAGTATTTTTCTGGTTTTTAGAATGAGCTATAAAATTATAAATTATATAAAATAGCAATAATAATAGAAATTATTCAAAATAGCATGTACCTTTTTGTACTTACCATAGGGTTACAAAATTAAACATCTGTAGATAAGGTTGAAGCCCCATTGTCTCTCTTCCATTTACTCCTCCCTCCTCCCTTCCCATTGTATTGAGTTCTGAATGAAGGCTCATTGCAAAAGTTGACTTTCAATATATGAAAACTTTGATTATCCCTCATGTATTTGAAATGTATAGCTTTTCATATTCAAAATATAAATTTCAGATTAAATTTATATTTGCTTCATATTTTAACTGCTTGAGTCGTATTTTCATCTTCCAGATGTCTAACATGTATTATAGTAGGTTACAGATATGTTTATGATGTATTACTATATTCATTTTTTTCCCTTAAACAGAGTGCAATAGAGTCTCTTTTTGGAGCATCAATAACTGGGATTGCCTATTCATTGTTTGCTGGGCAACCTCTAACAATATTGGGGAGCACAGGTCCAGTTTTAGTGTTTGAAAAAATTTTATTTAAATTCTGCAGGTACGTAATAGTTCTCTGTCAAATATGCTTATGTTTGTTATAATTTTGTGTCATAATTTAAGTTAAAAGTATACTATATATTTTATAAGTGAAAAGGAGGATCTGATCAAAGATCTAAATATTTTTCTGGGTGGGGTGTGTGTGTTTGGCCTGGGAGGATTTGCTGTTAGGTTATTGACCCAACTCTGAACTCTGCCATTGTCCCTACCCCAGTAACCTTGACTATAAAATCAGTGATTTGAGGATTTGAATACTACAAAGCAAATCACTTGAGGGACATCTAAAATCTCTAGTGTTTGCAAATTTCAATCTAATAAGGAGGGATATATTATTAACAATTTGAATTATTAGTTGGTATGTTGGCCTTATAAAGAAAATTTAGAGATGAATTTCTGATGCTCAAATTGACTATTTAATTGAGAGAATATTGAGGCTATTTAATAGAGAGAATGTCAGCAGTCAGTTTCTCCTGGCAGGGTTGTTCACAGTGAAGCAAGTAATATAGCATACATTATAGCTAGTAGACTGTCATTTGTGAGATAAATGCATTTGCATTTTCAGTCAGAAATAACTTGATGCTGTTAAACATTTGGTTTGTCAAACTTTGTACTGATTCTTTATTGAAAAACTCATTGTGAATTTGTCATTTTCCTCATAACATTTCTAAAGAAAGATCAATCTTCTTTGAAATATTTGTTATCCAGTACATTTCCAGTATGAATCTTTTATATAAGCAGTAGAATATAACTATTAAGTCTACTTAAGAAGCCAGTTTTCATTTGAAGTAGGAAAAACGCACAAACGTTTCTTTAGTCGTTATTTTTTAATTTATTCTTTTTTGGAATGTCTTTCTACTGCTTTTATTACTTGTTATGAAAGTTTTAAGTGCAAATACTGTCATGCTTGTGTATGTTGACCATGTTTACATTTTTCTTTCTAAACAGAGATTATCACCTTTCCTATCTGTCTTTAAGAACCAGTATTGGTCTGTGGACTTCTTTCTTGTGCATTGTTTTGGTTGCAACAGATGCAAGCAGCCTTGTGTGTTATATTACTCGATTTACAGAAGAAGCATTTGCAGCTCTCATTTGCATAATATTTATCTATGAGGCTTTGGAGAAGCTCTTTCACTTAGGAGAAATATACACATTTAACATGCACAACAATTTAGATGAACTGACCAACTATTCGTAAGTGTTATTTCCCTCTAATGAATTAAAATGGATTTTCACAGATGTGGAGCCAAAGAAAATGGATTCTTTTGTTGCAATGTGATACTCAGTGTTCAGCTATTACTAGTCAACCATATAAAGGTTGATTTGTTACAGATGAGATTTTACCAAAACACTCAATGGTCATAAGTATAATCAAATTCATTCATTTTTTTATTAGCTAAAAATTTATTCAAGTGTTTGTGTTTTTGGTCTTTTGTTTGAATTGGGCCCATCAGTTTAAATTCAATTATTTGGCAAATTATCATATATTTGAATCGCGTAATTATGTTGTATTTGGTAGTGTTTAAGCAACTACTGAATATAGGATGTGATATTTTTATATATTCTTCATTTGCATCTCTATTAACATTTTTAAATTTGGTAATTTTTAATTGACAGTTATTTTAAAATGTAATTTATATTGTATAGTCTTTAGTGTAGCTTTTTTTGGTGTGTGTGATAAGAACCTGAAAAGAAAATAGTTTAAGACCGTACAGCGGAAAATAGGATTTGAAAATTAACTTTGAAGTAAATTACAAAAGTTTGGCAAATATTTGCAATAAAAAGCCAGGCATTTATTAAAATAAGACATATTTCAGTAAGTGCTTGCATTTACTAGCTTAAGCTGTCATCCTTAAATGTGATCCGGCATTACATGGAGAAGTGTAGTTACTAAAAGCAAGGAAATAACTGTCTTCTACCCCAGAACGTCACAGATTCCTGTAGTAACTCCCTTCCCCTCCATACTTCTTCCTTCTTCCCCTCTGCTACCCTTATCTTGCCTTTCTTTCCTACTCTCAACTTTGATGGACAGAGTCGCCAGGTATATGGAAAAAAAATTATTTTAAAGATTTATTTGGGCCCTCCCTGGTGGCGCAGCGGGTTGGGATGCGGCGCTGCAGGCTGGCTGCAGCCGCTTCAGCATGAGCTCCTTCACCACCTGTCCCGGAGGTGACCCACATGGCGAGGCAGACCTCTCCTGACCCGCCCGCTGCTCCCCTCAGCAGCCAGCGTACTTCGTCTATCTTCCTGTTCTGCTCCCCACTGTGTCCTTGGTGAAGCCTCTCTCCGCCCCTATATGCATAAATAAATAAATCTTAATTTATTAAGAACTGGGTACAAGCCAGAGGTGCAGGGACAGTGAGAGGCTTCACCAGGGACACAGTGGAGAGCAGAACAGGAAGATCGACGAAGTACGCTGGCTGCTGAGGGGAGCAGCGGGCAGGTCAGGAGAGGTCCACCGCGGCATGTGGTCACCTCCGAGTCAGGCGGTGATGGAGCTCATGCTGAAGTGGCTTTCGCTTCTTATTGCTCTACTTTAACCCACTGTGCCACCAGGGAGGGCTCCGGTTATGAAAACTTCTACTTAAAATGCAAATGATGAAAAATCTGTTTTGTGAATTTTGATTGTTCTTATACTAGTTAGTTCTTTTGTTGTTTTCTCCTCTTATCTTTTCCTGTTCCTTTGACGTTTTTGAAGCCTGGCCTTTATAGCTCATGCCAAATTCTTAGAATGATGCTTTCTTCTAGTTCACTTAGTGAATTGCAAGTGAACATCATTCATTCAACTAACATTCTAGGAGTGCTCTAGGCACTGTTCTAAGATTGTTGCATAAAATTAATATCAAGGTGTTATTTATTATTCACTTCATTGCACTTTGCATGTGAAGAAACTGAACCTCCTGGAGATTAAAGCTTACCTTGAGTCAAAGACACAAGATGAGTGGGGTGATCACAAATAGGTAGGACTTGTCAGACACAAAGAATAGGAGTATCACATTTACTAATATTCTTTGCATGGTGTGTATTTGTGTACAGGGAGTTAACAAGTGCTATAGGTTAGGGAGGTAAGATTTAATGCAGGGTAACCTTGATAAACATGGCTGTATCTGTTCAGATTTTCAAAGAAAGTATTCCTGGAGGGATGTTTCATTAAATGAAGATTTTTTAAATAATAGTATTAATTACATTCTATTATATAAGCCAAGCTGTATCTACTCTGCTGTTTCTGATGTGTTTTTACTTTCTAACCTCTATTAGAAAGTAAAATGTTAAGTGGGAAAACGTTAAGTGGTTAAAAAAATTAACAGTTACTGTATTGTATGGTTGATTTAATAAATGGTAAACATGAAATGCATGATCCTTAAAATTTTATCCTATTGTAATTTCTCAGGTGTGTATGTGCTGAACCTCTAAACCCTAACAATGCAACTCTGATGCTGTGGGAGGAAAAGAATGTAACAGCAAGTGATATTTTATGGGGGAATCTCACTGTTTCGGTGAGTTTATTATAAAAAATTAAGGTTATATGCAGTAGTATAAAATAATTTCAAATGCAAACAAACCTAGTTTTTTTAACTTTTTCTGAGTAGACTTTATATTTTCTTCTTGATCAATGAATGTCATGTTTTCAGAATATAGTGGTGTTTTTGACCAAATAGAGTTACTGCATTTTTTTATTTCATGTACTAAAAAGTACAGATGGAAAACAATGAATCTGGTAAAGGAGATAATGATTGATAATGTTTGATTTCTAAGATATTACTACTAAGAAGATTGTGTATATACTGGTTTATAAGATCACTGAGGTAGTTCTGAGGACTGTGGTTGCACATAGTGGCGTTCACAGTTACAACAGCTCATTCCCCGTGTCCTGCCACCTCTTACCAGTTCATCTATTCTATGAGTACTTATTTGAGGAATATTAGTGCTCTGCTAGTGTCCTGTCAAAGTCAGCCTGGATAAGATTTCCCTAGTCTGACTTGAGCACTAGGAGAATAGAAGGGACAGGGATAAGCAGATGTAATGAGTCTTGACTTTGCCATATGCTCTTAAAGATTCTTGGATTCTACTGGAAAATAAATATTATCCAAATATTATAAGCCCTAGAACTTCTATTTAGGATGCTTCTGAGGTTGGTATTTAGGAATAGACATGTAAAGTGATTGCTGGCAGTATCATCTGGCACCAGCATCTGAAATCTGGCACTTTTTATGTCATATGAGCAATTGTTGGCCATTCTTTTCTCTACAAAGGTGGTAGTTATGACAATATAACTTGAAGAAGCTATTGTCTGAAACTTTATAACATTGATACTTTAAAATCTATTTAGTATAGGAGCCATTGGATACAGGGAATTAAATAAATGAGTTGGAAGTTTGGGTTTTCAGTTACATGAGCTGAATTTCAAGTGCTCAGTCATTCCATGTGACTGCCCGCTGCTGTATCAGGTGGTGCATAGAACTGACATTTCCCTGTGCTGATTTAAGGTGTTATATATCGGTAACCAATGCAGATGGATGCTTTACTGTTTTATACTTTAAAATCCATTTCGTTGTTATGAAAGAGGTAGAGATAATAAGAGTTGCTCAGTTAAAAATCCATGGTTTTAAAAAATATTACACGAACAGTAGTAGGATATCTTCATATTGTGGATATAGGGCTTTTCAGCAATCCAAAAGGACCAAGATTTTGTAAATTTGTAGAGTTACATTAATCTTAGCACACAGAAATTAAGAATGTTGGAACCTTTAACTTTTTGTTTTGTTTTGTTTGTTTTTGTTTTTTGCTAAACCTGAGTTATTTATTGTGTTGTTTAAGTATGTCTCATTAAAATATAAGGGGGGGGTGGATGTTAGTGTTATGCTTCCTAGTAAGTTATTGGACACTTTTTTGCTCATAATCCTATACTTTAGTCCCATGGTCTTAAGTCAGAAAAGCCCCCCACATGGTTAATAGAGATAGTGGCAATTTTGTGTCTATTGCTCTGTTTTGACTAACTTGCTCAGAAGTTAAGGAAAGGTAGTAAAGTTGGCAACAGCAAGAATGTAGATGGGGCATTTAGGGATTTGCTCATCATTAAGTCTTCATAATGGTAACGTGGAGTTGAAGGCATGGAATATATGACCTACGTTGGCAGAAAACTGTTCTAGTATTTAATAACATATACAAACCATAGTATCTCTGAATGCAGGCTGTGTCTTATACTTGGTGGTGTGTTATAGTTGACTTGGCAGTGTATTTTCTTTGTAAAGGAAATAAAATAATGGTGTGTCTTTGGAGGATTTTGGAGTCACTGAAGTTGACTGGTAATGTATTTGCTATCTGAGAACATCCTTCATCCTCTCTTTTTTTTCTGTTTGTTTTTTCCACCCCCTCCAGGAATGTAAAGCCTTTCATGGGTCATTTGTAGGATCAGCTTGTGGCCCTCATGGACCTTATATCCCAGATGTGCTGTTTTGGTGTGTCATTTTATTTTTCACAACATTTTTTCTGTCTTCATTCCTCAAGCAATTTAAGACCAAGCGCTATTTTCCAACCAAGGTATTGGGAATATAATGTTGGGGTTCCCTTAATATTAATGTTTTTAAGCTTTAATTTCTTTGGCTTACTTCAGAGCAATATAATACATTATTTGAGGTTAAGGCTTTATGTTAAATACTTACAATAAAATTATTAATTATTAAAAATGTATTATATATCAGAGCTAGCAATAGAAAGATAACAGTACCAGAGAGATGGTAGGTTAACTATCAAATATATTTATCTTTTGAGAACATATTACATATAAATGTGTTTCACTGATATACTGTCACTAATTAAAAGCCTCATTCACACTTTCTAATGACATATTTTAATCTGTGGAAGATAAGGTTTATTTTAAAAGGAAAAATGTTATTTTTAATGTTTATAGTAATAATAATTCCTTTAATATAGGTGCGATCGACAATCAGTGACTTTGCTATATTTCTCACAATAGTAATAATGGTTGCAATTGACTACCTTGTAGGAGTTCCATCTCCTAAACTTCACGTTCCTGAGAAATTCCAGGTAAGGATTAAAACACTTGGCTTTTACTTAAGAATAGCAAGCTGCTAAAAAGTGAAGACACTGCCTCCTAAGTCATTATTTCTAACATATGCATAGTATCTCTGAAGAGCTGGATTTTAAAGGAAAAATCATATATTCTCACATATGTTAAAAAATGACTAAGTGAAAAGAGGTCGGTAAATTTAAGAAGTAAGCAAAAAGGTATTCAGTCTGGGAAAATGAATGAAAATGATCCATGGTGAGGAGCTGGGAATCATTTTAAAAATTTGACCTCTTAGCCAGTGTTTATTATGCACTTTCCAGGTGAAAAATTTTTTTTTCACTCTTTCATAAAGAAGTATCTCAATCTTTTTACAAGAGTAACAAGAATACTAGTTAAACTTCTAGAAGTATAGTATGCCATATTGTATTGGCAAACTCCATGTAACTTCTGAGTGACTCAAATACATTCTTTCATAAGAAAAATGATAATCTGTGCATGAGTCCTTTATTTCACTAGAAAATTACAGTTCCTTTGTATACACTATACCATATACATTTGCACTCTAATTATTTTCTCTTCTGAGTTGGAAGTGATAATTTTGAATGGTTCCTGAAATGTTCTTAGCATCAAGTGTATGTGTCACTGCTTATGTTTACACTTAGCAAATTACATGGCTTCTTTTAGAGGCAGAAGCTTTAAAGGGATTAAAAATGATGAATATCACAGAAGTAATATTAGTCTCTTTAATCTTTCACTGGGGTAAAAAAAAAAAAGGCATTTTTTTAAGACTAGTGGCCTTCAAAGTGAAGTGCTGGCTGGAAAGTGATCCATCAAAATTGTTTAGAAGGTCTACTTATTTTTTTATCTCATATTAAAAGATACATTAATCTTTATAATTTTACTATACAAATTTTACTTTATGGATAAACACTAGTAACAACATATATGAGTATACAGCTATTTAACTTTGTATGTTCAATTTTGTTTTAAATTTTTTTGCTGCTTAGTAAAAAGTATTGGATCTGTTGTTTAGCAGCATAGATGATTGAGAGAATTAGCATAGATGATTGAGTGCTGTTAGGCCACTGGCCCTCCCTGGTGGCACAGTGGGTAAATGCAGCACTAAGGAGCTAAAGCCACTTCAACACCAGTTCGATCCTCAGCCCCAGAGGTGACCTACATGATGTGGCAGACCTCTCCTCACCTGCCCGCTGCTCCCCTCAGCAGTGTACTTCGTTGATCTGTCTGTTCTGTTCCCCACTCTGTCTCTGGGGAATCCTCTCACTGCCCCTATAATTCTGGCCTGTACCCCAGTTCTGTATGCATAAATAAATAAATCTTTAAAAGAAAAAAAGATGTTAGGCCAATAAAAGATGACAAAAGACACCCTACTTTTATCAAGTTTTACAAATAGATGAACTTGTAAGTGTAGTTCAAAATACTGATGTAATTTCCTGTAGTTCTGGTCCCCCTGCTTTTTTTCTGTACGTCTTGTATTTATTGATAGATGTTTTAAGTAGCAAACATTATAAGAGGCACAAATGATACTTGATGAAACAAATCAAGAGACATTCAAGATTCTATGCATTGTATACTTCAAATTTATTTTCATTCACAAGCAGCATTGAATATGAAGAGTTTAATGTAAAATTCAGTGTGGGAAAAGAATAACTGAATTTGAAAATACTAAATTCTTCTTTCATTTTAACAGATATTTTCATGATGGAAAAAATAGACTTAATAAGAAGTCTAGTATAAAAAGCATGCTTTGATTTCAGTATATCTAGTATCCTCCAAGAATATGAAACTCTCTTAGGATCTTTTTGAAACAAATTTTATGTCTTGGAACATTGACATGTACTTGTGCCAGACAAAGTGCGAGGTTTTTGTCAACAGATATTTTGGAAAAATTGTGTCCTGAGGGCCAGTTCTGATTAAGCACTAACCCTGCCAAGATTACAGCATTTCTAATGTAGTTTAGTTTGGGAATTTAGCTAGTAGTTACATTGGTTTCATTTTCTATGAAGTAGGTAGGAACATGTTGAAGTGACACTCTGTTTTACTTTTTTATTCTCCCAAAACATAGTATCTTCAAACAACCCTATTTTTGTTCATAATGAGTTGCAGTTGGGTTAGCTTTAGCTGATCTCTTGGTTTAGGATCTTTGATGTGACTGCAGTCATCAGTTGCCTCGATGGGGGCAGTATGTCTCCATTGCTGTGTCTGAAGACACATTTCAGATGACTGAAGCGATGGAGACCTCCCATCTCGCTCTTAATAACAGTTTTTCATCCTCAAGAAAGTTGATCCAGACCCACCCAACAGCTTCATCTTGGAAGAAGAATAAATAGCAAGGTCCCGTGAAGTGAAGACTCAGAAATCACACAGTTATTTTGGCTTTGTTCAGTTGGTTAAAGTAAGTGATATCAGGGACAAGTGGCTAAGTCAGACAGATGAGGGGTCTGGGCATGGGAAGAATCGTGCTGACTATATTTGCAAGTAACTCACCACAATAGCCTTAAGATTTGAGCCATTTCTTTCTGATCACTTGGCGTTTCTTGGAATAGACAGACTGTGCTGTGAACATTTTCTTCAGTAAGGAAAGAAAACATTTTCTTTATTGTCTTTAATTTTTTTAACAGCCTACGGATCCAAATAGGGGCTGGATCATAAGCCCACTGGGAGAAAATCCTTGGTGGACTTTGTTGATCGCTGCTATTCCGGCTTTACTTTGTACCATTCTTATCTTTATGGATCAACAAATTACAGCTGTAATCATAAACAGGAAGGAGCACAAATTGAAGGTAATTAAAAATTTTGTTTCAAGCATTATAATTTTTTGTAGAGTATGAGGTGTTTTATAATGACTAAAACATTAAAAAATGTAAGATGAAAATTTCTTTCCTTAGAAATAGCATATAATTTTGACTTAAAAAAGCATTTAGACTTGTAATGTTTCATGTTCACTTTGCAGAAAGGAGCTGGCTATCACCTTGATTTGCTCATGGTTGGTGTGATGTTGGGAGTTTGCTCTGTCATGGGACTTCCATGGTTTGTAGCTGCAACAGTGTTGTCAATAAGTCATGTCAACAGCTTGAAGGTTGAATCGGAATGTTCTGCTCCAGGGGAACAACCCAAATTTTTGGGAATTCGTGAACAACGGGTTACAGGGCTACTGATTTTTGTTCTGATGGGCCTGTCTGTATTCATGACTTCAGTACTAAAGGTAAATTTCTTTGTTGTAGTGTTTTGAGGTCCTCCTCCTTAGTATGAAATTTATACTTATTTATATGAAAAAGAAGCTCTAAAATGTTTTTCCCTAGTAATATTTTGGTGTTTTTTTTTTTTTTAAGTATAGTAGGCCTTTCAGTATGAGATTATCAACTTTTAAAATTATACAACATGATACTATTTAAATTAAATCCATGGCTAGTTAAGTATTCTATCTAAATTTTTCTACTTGTAGGAGAGTGCAGTTCTATTTTTTTCCCTTGGCAGTTTTGTTATTTTTGCTGTAAGCACTGGAGAAAACAGTAAGAAATAAATAATTAAATAAATAATTAAAAAGGCATGATCGTGTACTCTTCAGAACTTGCAGTTTAATTTGCAAAACAGATAGGTACATGGCCTGTTACCAGACAGTGCTGAGTGTATTGTCAGTGCTTGAACAAGAAGAGACCTGTTTAGTGTAGCCTTGTGGGGATGCTGTTCCCTACTCTTAAAAGTTGGCCGTTACATTTTTATTAACCACATACAAGCAGAATAAATTCAAGTAGGGGCTTCAGAAAGCTCTAAGATGAAAAGTTTATCTCCCATTGGCCTCTCACTTTTCAGAAGCAACTCTCTACAGGTAAACTCTTTATACTTTCTGTTTATGACCATGATACTTATAAATACTTGGGTAATTTTATATTTTACTTTTAAATATATTTTATATTTGTCTTTAGACTAAATCTCTTGACCCAGTGAAGATAGTGATTCTCAAGGTCTCTAGTTCACTGACCTCTGGGAGTTCCTCACTTCCTACCAGCCTGCTTGTTCCTTCTCTTTTCAGTTCTGTAACTGACAGGTTTGGTTTTACCCTTAAGCCAAAAGTCTGTTGCGGCAGACTGAATATAAATGCAGATAAGAGAATTCTGTTGTCTTCATTTAAGCCACCCACTAAAGAGATTTACAGAAATACAAAATAATCCTCTCCTAATTTTATTTTAGAAATATGTAATTTTTCGTGAAAAACTGTTCCCTGAATGATTCCATCAATATCAATATTATATCAACATATCAATACCGTAGGTTTTTCCTACATATGAAGGGGGGGGAGGTTCTCACT